GGAGTATCCGGTGCTTTAGAGGTTGGTCTCCAAGGCTGAAATTGAGTAAAGCCAAATCAATGCTAGCTGCTTTACTCCGTCATCACTGATATCATAAGAAAGTGCTAATTAACTTACTGCAACCACTGGAACAGCTCTGACCAAAGGGCTAATGCAGCCTAATCGCGTGTGGGGACCTGTGCTTACTTCCCCAGGACCTTTTCCCTTCCCAGTCAGAGTTAATCGATTGTAAACTGCAGCTGGGGTCATGGAAGCCCACAACTTCCCCTGCTGACCCTTCCACACCCCTGGGCAGGACCTTAATGGAGTCATGCTCCCCAGAAATCAATACTCAAACTGGGCATGGATCACCACATGAGCCCCTCTTGATGGGATCAGACAACAGGGCTGAGCTTTGAATGTCTAAATACAAAAAGCTCTTACTAGAGGGCTGCTGCCTTAAATGTTGTTCCCCCTTCAACTGACTTTGTAAAGCTATTTGAGAAAAGGATAAATGGAACTACAGAAAATATGAACAGCAAAAAATTTGATGGTGCATTTTATCCTCTGATTTGATTTGCTCTTTTTTCCAATCCAAGAGCTTCCTCCAACTTGAGTCTTGACACAGCACACGCAGGAAAACATGTCAACTACAGCCCGATCTGGTCTATGGAGACTAAGCCTAAGCGCTGTGTGGGGAGCGACCTAGAAGACAACAGCAGCAATAACCAATAAGACAACCACGTTAATTCCTCCTCACCTTGGGAGGACCTGTTTGAGTGGCTGTGTCTCATTAAGATTGTCCCGCCTAATACTAATTGGTCCTTCAGCTGGGAGGGCCCTGGGGGAACAGTTCCCTTTGGTCCACTCTCGCTGGGGCTCACCACCATTGGAGGGGTGCTGATGAGCTGGCGTTTTTATCAGCCGCAGCACTCTGCCAGAGTTCCCCCAGGGCTCTGCACAAGCTATAATTAAGTCTCACACAATCCATAATTGCTGTGTTTACAATTACTGTAGAAGAGAAACACAGGGGCAAAGCAATAGGAAGATAGGACAGTGTGCACAAGGAAATGGAATAAAGGAGGAAAAATGGGTGCAACTACAAAGAACTAGCTTGGCTCTACATATAATACAAGGTGCAAAATTCATATTAAAATCTCTTTTTCTCCTGCCCCATCTCACTTCACTTTGCCTTAATAAGCTCTCGGGGCTGTTTGGCAGGAGTAAAGCCCATCACTTATTTATTTTTCCCAGATAGCCCTATTAATTTTCCCCAGGCCTGGAGTGCTCCGTCAGACAGAGACGTGGACTGGATCTGCCGTCCCCTGGGTGCTCCTCGAGGAACAGCCGTAAATGACCCAAATAAAGGGTACTTTTGAAGGCTGTGGAGAGGCGCTGACACCATTAAAACTAAATGAAGTGTTTATTAGCCATGCCAGCAGTATTCTAAACACTGCCAGATCAAGGGCAGTTAACTGTTAATGTGTCTCTCCATAGCATTTGCTGTTTGTTTAGCCTCGCCAGTGGGCCTGAAAGAACCAAAGGACAGTTTTTTATGCTATTTTTCATGCATTTCTCTCACCCAGTCTCTTCCTTTCTCACACCTGGTGTTCCCTCCTCTGCTTTTTGTATTTCTTACTTTTGTCCCATCAAACACCAACCAAACTCCCCACCACTGAGCTCCCTTTCCTGTCGTTCCAGAAAAGAAAAGCCAGTATATTGTGGTTTCCTCCTGGATCGGGAAGCCACACAGCAAGGTTAATGTAAGGGAGGTGTGACAGCAGCAAAACACCCACAGAAGGTAGAATAAAAACAGCAAGACATTGTGTCTCTGTGGAAAGGGGGCCTGTTACACTCTGTGTACTGACACTGTCTGTGGCTGGGCAGGAGACTCTGATGGGGGACCAAAAGCTGCTTTTAAGGGTCTGATTGCTCTGCATTCTGATATTCCCCTTAAAAGTTTCTCTTCCCTCTAATTACATTCTTCGTTTCATTTCAGCTTTAAGACAAACTGCCAGGGAAGCTTTTGGAGAAGGCAAAAAGAGAAGCTGGGCTCAATTTCGCTTTGTTATTTTTAAGGTTTGAGTTTGTAATGAAAAAAATTTGCTAAAATTGGATAAAATGGGGAATAAACTGTCCATTTATCTTCTTTATATTTTCTCTCTAATAGGCAGAGTTATTACGCACATGACATAAAACAGACATTTACATTTACAGAAGCACATTTCATAGCAAATACTGTACCTGGAATGGCTCTGTGGCAGTTTTGATGATGCTTAAAAATCTGCTTGTGAGCATTATTTTGTCATTAACTCATATTTAACTTTTTTCCAAGGCTCTTGTATATTTTCCTCCACAATAATACCATGTGTGAGTGAGAATAATGGCACTCATTTGGAGCTGAATTAAAAGTTCAAACAATGAAAGCTGTGAAAACTTTAGTATGCCACCTCAAAACACATTTTTTATTTCACACAGATCTCTAATTATTTTTCATAACCTCGAGCAGTGTACAGTAATATCACTGCTTCCTGTTCTAACTTGCCTGTCTATGGCTGACACCAATTTAAAACAACCCTTCACCCTTTCTGCCCCCACTTCTTCTTATAACTTCTCTCTTTAAAAATGAGCTGAGTTGAGGACTCAACAACAGTCCTAAATGAAGTTCTTCTCCTCTGTGTGAATGTTGAAAGTCAGAGGCTGCGTTTACAATGCAGAGTGATCGTCCCTGTCCATTAGCAGCAGATAGAATGTCACAATCAGGGATGTACATAATTAATCAGTGGTTACTCTTTGCAACTCCGCCTCTCTTTCCTTTTACCCCATTTCCTCTGGACTATTTTGAGTGTAAAACAGGGTTATGGACAATTCCCAGCAGTGTAACTAAATGCACCGCCCAAAGCTTACAAGATGATCTGAGTTGCACTATTGACAAAATATCACTGACTAGTAATGAACACAGTGAGGGGTCCAACTAATTCTCAAGTCCTTAATTCATCATCCCAACACATTATCTCAAACATACAGCTTCACATAAGATCACTTCACATTAGAAAGCTCCCTCACTTTCACTTGCAGAACAGTTTCCAAGAACGCATTACTTATGTTCTCTCCCTGTGGTGATGTTTGTGTGCCCTCTTTAATGAGAACAGCCTGATTTTGTAATCCAGCATTATCTTTCTCATTCACCTTTTCATATCAAAATAAAGCCCTTCAGGCAAGGTAAGAGAGTGGGAGAAATTTGCACAAATTCAGCTCCCTTTTATATTTTTATACTGTATCTTCACCTGTCCTGGTCTAACACTGTGTTTGTAGATCACTATCAAAGCTTTCCTCCCTCTTTATTTGACCTTCCTCCCCAGAAGAAAACCTCAGGCTGATTCCCTTCACAACAAAACAGTGCTGTCAAACCTAAATCCCACTGACTTTCAAACTTTCCCTCGGCATACACAAGACTTTCTGCTCACCAGTACTCTGGAGAACCAGGCCTTCCATCAATGCCAAGCCCAAGCTGTGGAGCTCCAGCTCAGTCACTGTGATTTATATAAGTTATTATAGCTCATTACAGAACAAAAACAGGACAAAAAACCCACTTCACAACAGATGCCGGGCCAAACAATAGGACCACACTGGTGAGTGCTAGCGTACGGGTGGGTGAAGTCCAGCACATGCCTAAGCCGCCACTCACCACACATTGTCTTTAATCTAATTCTACACATGGTTTCGTTTCAATCTGAATCAAAAGCTCTCATGTTAACAAACCATAACAGATCTCCCTTAATCCGCCTGGCAACAAAAGATGGATGCAAAAGACACTCTGCTTCTCCGTCCCTGAAATCACACCTAATTTGCATACAAAACACTTGCTGGAGGTGAGGGCATATATTAAAGCCATTATTTTGCATTGTTCTCATTGAAAAAAGTTTGCATAATTGTGTTTACCATTATATGAGAGGGAGGCTCAGCTATCCAAAAGCAACTTAGCAAATCCTTCCTGTTGCTGCTGGCCATTCATACTCCTGTGTTCTCTTGATAATGCAGGAGCAGACAAATAGGAGCATGCATCTCTCAGTATAACCAAACTGTAGACAACACAGCTTCAAACACTTGCATACTGCAGTGTTACTATTCACAGCTTTCTGAGTGTCCTTCAAATATTATTATTACACTTGCACAGAAAGACTCATTAGAAAAACTATACTTACGTGGTACACAATTCATTCTCTAGAAATACTAACCACTAACAAAAACAACAGGAGTCATTGCTATGTAAACATCAGCTGAAGTTGAAATTGCTCAATAAATACACAGCAATCAAATATGAGTCATTTTTATGAGGATGGCTTTGGCCACTACTATCTCCTTCCTAATGCTTATGTATCACTCCATGTGAATATTTCCCCAAAGTTTAATCATTTATAGTAATACAGACATGTGTCCACTCTTCCTCATGCCAAACATGGATTCCAGTCCTCTGACTGACAGATTGTTGAGGGCATGTGCCCAACTGATGCTTTTTAAGAAAACCGTGTGGTTTGGAGAGGGGGTGATATAAAGCCTCAACTTAACTCTTACAATCACAGTGTGACAGCAGGGCTCAGGAACGTGTGCTGCTTCCAAACACTCAGCCAAGGGAATTAGTCAATGCTAATGTGGCCACTTTGCTAGATCAAACAGTGGAAAGGTTAGTCACTGGCAACAGGACTGGGTAATAAGCATCCAACGGCATGTCAGTGCAGGAGGTCTGATTTGCACAATCTTCATACTGCAGTGCTAACAGTAATGATGAGAACCTGACTTGTACATCTGTTCATGCCAGCCACCTCAGGCAAAATTTGCAAGGGCTAAATCAAAACATAATTCATTATGTTGATATGAAGCTTTTTTTTTAATTGTTTTTACTGCCCCTCCACCTGCACCTTCTATGCACACACACACACACACACACACACAAGCGAGTCTTTTTTCAGGTGATGTGACATTTGTGTTGATCTCTATCTCTGGGATATGCAGTAACTCACCCAGCCTGACTTGCTGGGCCCTGTTCTGTCCCAGGTGCCTCCAGGGATTATACCGCACACCTCTGTGTTGAACAGGACTTGAGCTGTCCTGAGCAGTGCTTTTCAGTGTTGTCCCTGCCTCCAGGTGGCTTGGAGCAGCAGCGCTGAGCATGAAAAAACATAAGCCTGAGCTCTCTTGAAACACATACATAAAGGCCTTGGTGGATACTTTTATCATTTTTCACATTAGCTCTGCCCCATTCATCCAAGTGAGTGCATTCCCTCAAAGGTGTGCTCCTATCATATGTGTGCAGCCCTGTCATCTGCATAGGAATGTGCGTGCACGCATACAAAAACACGTACATTTTAGCATGCTGCCATGGGTGTGTGAGCAGCAGCTGGGTGTAAATTGCACACGAGTGTAACGTAATGAGGACTGATGGCTTATGCCTGCTGTATATTCCAGGAGGGTGTCTTCTGACAGCTTTGGGAGCCGATAAAGTAATAACTAATAATGTGCAGATAGCGGTGCCACTGTGTGACAACTGCGCTGAGAGGGTGAGGTTGTGTGTGAGTGAGAGAGAGAGAGACAGAAAGAAAGAAAGAAAGAAAGACAGAAAGAAAGAAAGAGAAAGAGAGAGTGAGCATGGGGGATGAGAGAAAGGGAGGAGGCCTCTGCTAAGGGGGGTTCCTTTCAAGTTTCAAATGCAACCTCCAGTGATGGTTTCAAACCTAACTCACTACCTCCAATAAACACACAGGCAAAAAGAGAATACATAAACTGTTTAACAATAAGTTGCTTTGAAAAAAAAAAGAGAGAAAATGATTTGATTTGATTTATTTGTTCTTTCAAGCATGTAAAGACAGTTGATATGTCAACGCACATAATTTTACACATATCCAACAAATGCTAATCCAATATCAATTTGCTTATACCTAGTACATGCTTGAATGGAGTAGGAAGAAGTCAGACTTATCCAGTCCTACCCCATGACATCATCTTACCATCATTGGTTTGCAAGCAGTATCTCTACATAAATAATTATCTTCTACACCACACAAGTAATATACTAAAGAATTATTACAAAGTGTTAACATTCATACACCACACCCACAATGTTCCATCTAATTAATCATTAAGCCTGTTCTTGCATATATCTTGATTGACACATACCTTTATATTTATGTTTAAACTCATCAATTCTATTACTATTTTTTATGTCCGCACTTAAATTATTCCATAGTTTTACCCCACTTATGGAAATACAAAATCTTTTTTTGGCTGTACGTATAGCATGAATTTGATAATTTAATTGACCCCTTAAATTGTATCCCCCTTCCCTTTCATTAAATAGTTTTTGAATTCCACCAGGTAATAAATTGTTCCGGGCAGCACAGTGGCACAGTAATTAGCGCCGTTGGCTCACAGCGAGAAGGTTCCGGGTTCGGGCCCCACCTGGGACCTTTCTGTGTGGAGTTTGCATGTTCTCCCCGTGCTTGCGTGGGTTCTCTCCGGGTACTCCGGCTTCCTCGGAAATACAAAATCTTTTTTTGGTTGTACGTATAGCATGAATTTTTAAATTTAACTGACCCCTTAAATTGTATCCCCCTTCCCTTTCATTAAATAGTTTTTGAATTCCACCAGGTAATAAATTAACAATTTAGACTGTGTGAAAGCTCCATTGGTGTGATCCCTGTACCCCATCTTATGCACAATTCTTATTGCTCTTTTTTGTAATATATACAATGGTTGAAGTGAGCTTTTGTATGTATTTCCCCAGTTTTCAACGCCATACTCTAAGTATGGTAAAATCAATGAAGAATACAAAATCCGTAGTGCTTTCCCGTCCAAAATATATCTAACCCTTGCCAATATCGATATATTTTTTGCTATTTTGTGCTGAACATATCTGATATGAGATTTCCAGGAGAATTTGTCATCAACTATGACACCTAGAAATTTAATTTCATATACTCGTTCTATATTAGCTCCCCCAATTTTCAATTGAAGTTCATTATCTAGTCTACGATTCCCAAATACCATAAATTTAGTTTTATCCAAATTCAGAGATAGTATATTACTATCACACCATTTCTTTATCTTCTCAAGATCCTGTGAAACCCATCCAGAGAGTTGCTGTAGGTTTTCACCCGATGCCCATATGCACCTCACACACAATGGTTATATCTACCATGATAGCTCAAACTGAAGACAAGGCAAATTTTAGTGGTGGAAGGATTGCTTACAAAGCAGATAAAAAATTGAATAGGATGAACCATTCAAAGACTCACAGTAGGTGGTGTTAAACAATGTAAAGACATGTCTGTTCAAGTTAAAAATATTTCAATGAGTGCAGAAAAAAAAAATCTGCAACTGTCCTGTAACTGTATGTCTCCACTTTATGCCATTTACACTAATGAGAAGCTAAATCAAGAGTGTGCAGGGGAATAAAAGAAAGAGCTCAGAGCATATTTAAAGCTAACTACAGCTATGTTTTGTCACAGAATTAATGTTAAAAGTGTGTGCCCTTTATATATTGGTCTCAAATTTAATGCCAGTTTGAGAAGCATTTTTACTAAGAAATGATTTCCACAATTTCATTGTTCTTTTCATTTTTCAGCAGCATTGCTAGTCTCTAAAAACACCAGTATTTGTTCAGGGACACCTTAAGGACCACTGTCATTTCCCAGCATTGACATTCATATCAGTGGACAGTAGATATGCTCTATGTTTCAAGCTGTCACTGCTCTAATTCAGTCACAGTGTGCAGCTAAAAAGGACAATCTGTCTACGAATAAGAGATCAAACTAAGTATTCGACCATGCATGCCATCCCTTCATGAGCTGTCAGGCCAGATTTTGGTGTGGGTGTTAATCTATTTATTTACAGATCTGTGCAGAACAGTGTAGCCTCACAATCAACGTTTAGCTGTAAAAGAGAAGCGTCATGACAGAGGGATTGACAGAGTGGAAGAAAAAAGGGAGAAAATCGAGCGCAAAGGAACATAGTCATGTTCCAAGAGGTAAACCACAGGTTGGGTCTAGCCTAGTAGAAGTGATCTGTCTTTTCCCTCTGTGTTATTGGGTCTCTCATTAGGAGCCAGGCCCTGAAACCAGAGCCTGGCCTAATGCCTTGCTGTGTTTAGAGAAGCATAGAAACCATTTGGCTACAATAGCAACCTTTTCAAAAACAAACGTCTGAAATGAAAGGCGGCCGGGCTTGCAAAACCCAACAGCCAATTATTTTCAAAAGCAGGCAGGGGAGACATGACCAAAAAAATGTGTAAACTGCAACAGAAAATAAAGCAAGGCGTGCTGTATGCACCACCCACTCCCATTTCCCTCTCAAAAGTTCATCTTTGCATCAGTGTTTCACTCACCTACACCCTCACCATGAGAAGTGTCAAAGGGTTAATTCACACGCACCAGACTTTCATTCCACACTGATGCTGCCACATGATAAGCTCCTCTCACTGTCATTTATCAGTAATTTACTGCTGCTTCTTTTTCCCTTTCTTTCTCTCTCTCTTTCATACAAAATGAGCTTGTTTCGCCTGAAGCCATTTGACTGCTGTGAAAGACAGGCACTTATGTTCACTGACATCAACAAGCATTACCTAGGAATTTTCCATACATATGAACATAGTAAAGATGCGCAGTCCAAACCACAGACATCTCCATGCCTCAACTTGCACCAATCACCAAAATGAGCATAAAGCTGTATAGTCAAAGTGTTGGACATGCCTGTTCCCATGACTAAGGTGATTGCAAAGTCAAGGGGTTACTGGGTTTGTGGCCAGGGGTGCTGGGCGCAGACTCATCCTACATTTAGAGCCCCATGCTCTAGGGGACAGGCCATCAAAGAGAGAAGGCTACCCTGTTCTGAGCAGCAGCCTGGGCCTCAGGGGCCCCACCAGTGATAGCTTCCATGTCACAGCCAGCCCTGTGGAACATAGGTAATGTATCCTGGGGGCCTGCTGGGAGATAACAACACACCAGGACACCTGTGTCTGAAGCTGTAATTTGTCTTCTCTCATGCTCAAGGTGTTTTATGATAGCAAAAGGACAAGGTGAAACAGCGAACAAAACAAGCAAGCCCACGCACTCCCCCGGAAATCCTCCCTCTCTGTAAGCTGCTCAGAGCATATTCTCAAATAAGCTTCAGCACAAGTAGAAAGATGTGCAGATACTACACATCAAACTGAGTGAGGACTTAATGTGAATATCTCCATTCTGCAATATTTTGGAAGAGTAAAATAGTGCACCGCCTAGCTTGAGTAAATTTCAGATCCATCAACTAGTAGGTGGAGAAGTAAAAGTCAAAAAGTTTACTAGAAGTACTTTTCTGTTGTTGTATAAATAAGTGTGTGTGTGCATGTGTGTGTATGACTGGAGGTGACTGGTGATCCCCACCCTTCCTGTATATCTTATGCTGGGGTATTAGTGAGGGTCCCTGCCAGAGGCAGTGACTACACAGGCTCTTCTGAGAAGGCGCTCATCAACGCCCCTGCTTTCAAAGGCAGCTTTAACCAGTGCCATTCAAAGCCATCAGCCTAGTCAGGGTCTGCCCATCCAGCCCAAATCCCTTCATGGCTATCAGACGAACTCTGAGCTGGGCCCACTGGGGCAAGGCAGGCATAGGGGTGGGATTTGCTCATAAGAGATTGCAAAAAGGCCGTGACACATGCTTATTCATGCCCCAACAACCCCAAACCAAATATATATAATGTTCATAAAATAAATAATTAAAAAGATAGGAATTAATAAATACCCTGCTGCAGAGGTAATGCAGCCCTTCTTGAGCATTGCACATACAGTATTTATACAGGCATGTACACGAATGGGTACTCTTACACATGCATGCAGTCAAGCTGCTATATACCACGTTGGATGACTCAACCCCTAACATTATGCAGACCCATAGGTCATTATTACTTTGGTCTTAGGGAGGGATGGTATAGCACAGAATAAGTATCAAAGTAGAGATTACTGAGAGGGCAGTGAGGCCTTTGTCTGATTCACAGTTGGCAACTAATCTAGCTGTTGATGAGCTGGTGGAAATATATACTGTAAGAGGCCGGCAGCAGCTTGTCTTTAAGGTTCTCTGAGGTTGGCTACTCACTCTCCTACCTAAGATAGGGATTAACAAAACCTAGTAACTTAC